CGATAAAAACGTCGTCGATTTGACTTGACCCTTTTTCAGTTCATTCTTACTGAAAATGTAAACAACATTTTACTTCAACTTTATTTCAATTTTCTTCCATTTCTCTGAGACTCTTCAGTTTATTTCAATATTAGAAACATTTTTCATACTTTATCGGTTTGTTAGGATTTACAAAGGTCTGTCGAATTATTGGTAATTTTTTAATAGAGCTATATGTCTGTGTTTAGAAAATGGTAAATAAAAAGTGATACGCGACTGATAATCGTAAATCCTATAATCGAACTGTTTTGAAATGTCAGTTGTAAATGTTAAACGTTTTTTTAGCTGGAACAAAGGCGATATGTAATACTTTGATCCGGCATAGATTTGTTAGAGCGGCTGGTTTTAGTCAGTGGAGAATTAAAATTCGATATTGCACGCCCACAGTGGCCCACTGCTATCTGACCTTTTCCACATTTGGAGGTGCTACAAGCATCGATGAATATCGGTGATTCAACTCCTAAAATGTGTTCAGTTTTGTCGGGGAAGTACAAAATTTTACTGCCATATGGATTCTATGGACAATTATACGGTAATTGAAATAGACAAAATTATACTAGTAATACTCTTAACATTAAATTAAACAATCATCTCTTTGGATAATTGTGGAGAAATAATTATATCGAGAGTTTAGTTTAGTTGGAAATATCGTTTGTACATCACTTTTCTTGATTATGAATGTAGTTTATGGTTTATGTTAATGTTACTCAAGAATTTTCAATATGAAGAAAATTACTAATTGTACATTTGACTAACTAAGTAATCTGTTAAAAGTTGTCAAATGAATCATAAAGTTATTTGTTCTAAAGAAAATTTTCTAAATTTTAACTATAATTCAAGGATACCGAGTTCTGTATTTCTATAGTATACATCATTGTACATGTTATTTTATTGTATAATTGTACTACATAATATTTAGCATGTTGCAAGTTCAATGCCTCAATCTGTTCAACCTTAGAACAGATATATCTCGTTGCGGATTAATTTTCTTCACATTCTCAATGGTAGAGAGCGAAGAAAACAGTGGGAAAAAATCGTGAGAAACCGCGTTCAAACTTCCATCGAAGTGAACAGTTTTCATTGCGAACACTTCCTTCAAATAAACATGGCTTTTACAAGCAAGCACTTTCTTCCAAGAAAAGTCTGCTGTATTTGCTCAACAATTACTTTTCCATAAATTCCGTTAATTTCTTTTACTCTGACTCTTGTTTACACATTCCGTTTCCTCCTGAATTTGTTATTTCATCGTGTTTTGGATAATTTCTTAGATTTTATTTGAAAAATAATCCCACCCAATTTTCATTTTCATTTCTTTCAATTTTGTATGTTTTCTCTTTAATCCCTAAATGGGGATCGCGGTACAAGCGAAGAGATATCAAAGGACATTAAATATGTTTAACACGTAAGCCTTAAAATTTCAAAGAAACGCATTGAAGTGCAAATATCAACAAATCGGTGAAATGCTTTTAGAAATTATTTATATAGAGAATATGCAAATATTGAAATGCGGATACAGAATAATTTACCTCGAGAAAATATACTTTCACGTTAAATAGGAAACGTAATTCAGAAAATATAATAAAAAGTTTGCTAAATAACTATTTAGTCTAAATCTAGTCTAGCCTGGTCTAAATCGAATATTCTCGAGACCAACTGAAACGGGGACAACAGAGGGAAATGAGTTAATGCGGCATTAAAGTAATACTAATGTTAGCGCACGAGATACCGAGGGAACTGTCGATCATTCTGCCACGAGCACGTCGAATAGATCATAGATCACGAAGAAATTTACCTCGTCGATCGAAGAAAAATCACTCGCTCGTTGCGCTTAATCGTGCTTTATGCTCGTGTAATATTAGGTCGGAAATAGAGAATAGAAGATCGTGGATGCGTAGGGAGAATTTTCTCGTTCTCCTTGGCAGGCTTCCTTCTCTCCCCTCGCAGTGGCTCAAGTCCACTGACCGAGACTTGGATGCCATACTATAAAGCCAAAGAAAAAGTCGCGATCGTAAACTCTGTACCTGCTTCCGCACTTCGCGATAGTTCCGTGATTCGCTCGTACGCTTTTCACAGAAATTTCCATCGGTGAAACTCGTCGAATTCGAGCGTGTCATCCTCAGACTTAACGCTCCGCCCTCGATGATACACCTTTTCCCAACGAGACATTGCGAACTAAACTCACACGACACGTCGTTTATTACCAGCGAAACGAAATTACGAATCACGATGTCCGAGACTGGAATAAATTGTCTTAAACAGGCGAAGATCGAGAAACGTTCGTTGCCATTCCATAATGGGACGAATTTCATAGGAGATTTGTTTAATCGAGCGCGATAATTAAAGCAGTAGAACGCGGTAAAGTGTGCTGCTGATCGTAGCTGAGAGGAACGGTTATGATGGAAAATCGGGCTACGTTTCTCCGGTGAACGGCGACGACGACGGCGAGGACTACGACAGGGACGAATAAATAAGGAGACGAGAAACGTGTAATGACCCACACTCGATTATTGCCAAACAGAAAGAGAGATAGGCGTGCTCCTCGTGGCGAAGAACGAGCAGGATAAAGAGGAGCGGATAGAAAATATGGCCATGATATTTACTAATGCGGCCTCCACGTGAAAGTGCTCGCTCTTCGCTTTGTGCCGTGCTCGAGGAACGCGTATATACAGTCTCATGTAACGGGTGACATGACCGAACCTTTCGAAGAAAAACAAGATCATGCCCGGTTCGGTTGAAATGTCGCGTTTCAAGCGTTATCCAGCTTCGTCGCGGAGAGTACGTTGGGTGTTAACCCGTTCCGGAGATTCTGGTGTCTGTGAGGATCAGCCTGATGGGTGGCGATAGACGTGAAGAATGCGACGAAAAATGGCACGATCGAGTTACGAGAAATTCGAGTGCCGCTGAATTTGACCTAAATAAGAGTTTGCAGGAGCGTGGACTCTCTCCCTTTGTAGCTGCTGGTGGATCCTGAAAATAACTGCCGTTCAGTCAGTGTGTTTAATTTGTTTATAATCGGTGAACCTGACTGCACCATGGATTGTTACATTTTTTTCTGGACGTTGTGTAATTTGTGAAATTTGTTAGAGTTAATTAATATTTTAAACGTACTCTTTTTATTATAAAAGTATTACTGTTGGTACTAGAAACACTCTTCCATTTTGCATGTTTCTACGTTTGCATTTTCTCACTGATTGTTAAGGACAGATAATAAATTGAAGTGTAATTTGATGATTATTATTGTTGGTATTAGAAACGCTCTTCTATTCAAATAGAAAAAGATATGAATTTGAAAAAATGTTTTGCATGTTTCTGCATTTAAAAAAAAAGATTGTATATGTATGGACTGGTATTTTAGCAACGGTACAATATATGCTTGTACTTTTTCCTGCACCTTGGAAAATTCACGATTTTATTTATGTATCTGTAAGATCTGTTTCACATTCGTTGCGGATAATCAGGCGTCTGCTGTATTCTCTGCTTCTCCTTTTTTCCCGCTCGTAATTGAATGGCTCAGTGAACCAAGCGTAACATTGGTCTTGGTTCACTTTAACTATATGATTGTTGCCTAAAAACTAGCTTTATTCAGTGAAAGTCAATTTCTACGTGAACGGTAGTAGGTATAGCGATATCATTCGTTTCCTCGATACAATTCTAAGTACTGGCGCGTTATTTATGTACAAATACCTCAAGTACCTGTTTAAAAAAAAGTTTAACGTTAGTCGTATTTATGATGAAAGAAATAGAAAATTTAAATAAAAGTAAAAAATATCGTTCAATTGTTAAAAATTTTATTTTACTATATATTTAACGTTTCTCTTTATACGAGAAAAAACTTTTTTCCTATAACGGTAAATGATAGTTTTAATCCTTTAAGAACAGATCAGATTAATGCACTACGTCGAAGTTAATTACTGTATAATTTCTGGTATTTCAACATCTTTATCGAGATATTCTATAAAACTAAACAAATTTGGGTTACTCAACCAGTTTAATATCGTGACGCTTGACTTAACTTCGTCAACTGGCTCAAACTTTACCGGCCATTTTAAAATCCACTTCAGCGACAAGATTATCGAACGAGTAACCAAGGAAACGTAAGATCATAATTTCTGTTAAATCATCGAGAAAGAAAAAAAAACATACCAGTCATCGTTCCGTATCAAGCGAGTCATATTAATTTTATACACACATAACTTATTCAATAATCATCCTGAAAATGATAAAAGAGAAAAAAATATAAAATTTCTGTTTCAAATTTTAATTGCTTCGCTTTACCATCTGTTCGCCATTTAAGCGTACCAATTTCTCATATTCACGGTTCATCGAAAACATCCGAGAACGCTCTGAACGTCGTCCGTCTGTTTGATCACTCGTACTATCCCTCGCTCTTCTATTCAAGGTATCATTTCACAGATGGTCCTCGGCGAGTATGGCCGTAAAGGTAATTCGTCCAAAGAATTTCGATGAAAATATTCGCTGGCAGCGAAGTATCCTTAAGGTCTCCTCGGTGCTCCTCGCAAACAAGGACAGAAGAGAAGGGGATACGAAGTTGTATAGGCACCTTTCTCGCGGCGCTCGCTATGGAATGGCAAAAAGAGAGGAGGCACTCTGACGTCACATTGGTTGGTCGGTAGTGCCGCTAGCCTCTCACTTGGTCGGCGACGTTTGGCATGCTCGCTTCGGTTCACCTCGATACCGTCCGGATCCGTTCCATTTCATACGACCGACCCTTCGCCGCACTCGAAGCCCGACAGCCAGAGGGAGCTCACTTGCGAAATTTCGGCACGGTGCACGCGTGCGACAGTGATTCGATATGTAACACGCAGGGCTTAGCTGTCTTTTTCGCGGTACGGTAAAAACGAGTGTTGGAAAAACTGTCAGTGAAGTTGTTGTTCGGTGTCGGGTGCTTTATTGCCGGTTCGTCAGTGTGCACGGCTTATTGTATTATTCTATCGTTGTGCCATGACACTCTGGATACGATTGTGAATGGATTAGGTGGCAGCCGCGGTGAGTCCAAGCTTCTTCTTGTCACCATACTTCCGTTTTATCTCTTGCTTCGACCGCGTTTCTTGCGATCATGTTCGAACTTGTCTTGCTCGATGTCTACGGAAGCTGTCGTTTATGGTACCGGAAAATACACCGATTTACGTGTAAAGATTAGCAATATCGAGCGTGACAAAAAGAAAGACGGTAAAAGCGTGGAATTGTAGTAAAACAGAGAAACGTATGGAGAATTGTATCGATCAATTTTGTCATTTGAGTAGAAATGTCAAGTACGATGTGGCAAAAACGAAGGATCGAAAAAAGAATAGTTTT